TGAGAGAATTTACCTCAACATAATAAAGGACACTGATGAAAAGCTCACAGCTTACATCATACTCAACAGTGAAAAATGGAAGCTTTTCCTGTAAGATCAGGAACAAAGCAAGAATGCCCACATACGTCACTTCTATTCGTCATATTCATCATCGTACTAGAAGTCCTAACCAGAGCAATGGGCAAGAAAAAGGAATAAAAGACATCTAAATCCGAAAGTAAAATTACGTCTGTTCACAGATGACATGATCTTATATGTAGAAAACCCTAAAGACTCCACCAAGAAACAATTAGAAATAATACATGAATTCAGTAAAGTTGCATGATAAAAATTCAACATTAAAAATTCAGCTGCATTTCAATACATTAATAAACTATCCAAAATTAAGAAAACAATTCCACTTACTATAGTATCAAAAAGAATAAAATACACTTAAGAATAAACTTAGCCAGTCCTGGCCAGGTAGCTCATTATGTTGGAGTGTCATCCCATACACCAAAAAGCTGCAGTTTCGATTCTCAATCAGGGCACATAACTAGGTTGCAGGTTCGATCCCCGATTGGGATGTGTACAGGAGGCAATCTATCAATGTTTCTCTCTCTTATTGATGTTTCTCTCTCTCTCTCTCTCCCCCTACATCCATAAATATAGTCTTAGCTGAGGATTAGAAAAAAACAATAAACTTAGACAAAGAGGTGAACAACTTGTACACTTAATACCACAAATCACTGATTCTAGAAATTAAAGAAGACATAAATAAATGGAATGACATCCCATGTTCAAGGATGGAAGGTTTAATAATGTTAAAATGCTTGTACTACCCAAAGCCATCTATAGATTCAATGTAATCCCTAAAAAAATCCCAACAGCATTTCTTACAAATATTGGGAAAAAAATCATAAATTTCATACTGAACCAAAAAAAACCCTGGATATGCAAAAAAGAACAATGCTGGAGGCCTCACACTTCCATATTTCAAAATCTATTCCAAAGCTACAGTAATTAAAACAGTATGGTAATGGCATAAAAAACAGACATATAGACCAAAGGAAAAGAACCAAGAGCCCAGAAATCAACCTATGCATATTGGGTCAAATGATCTTCAACAAGGGTGTTAAGAATACACAATGCAGAAAGGAGAGTCTCTTCAATAAACGGAATTGAGAAAATGTCCACACACAAAAGAATGAACTGGAACCCATATCTTATACCATACATAAAAATCAACTCAAAATGCATTAAAATTTTAAATCTAAAACCTGGAACTGTAAAACTCCTAGAAGAAAAACAAAGAGGGGGAAACTTCATGATATTAGGCTTGGCAATGGTTTTTTAGATATGTCATCAAAAGTACAAAGCAAAATTAGACAAGGGAGACTACATCAAATTAAACAGCTCTGCATAGCGAAGGAAACAATCAACAGAGCAAAAAGGCAACCTATGGAGTGGGAGAAAATATCTGCAAGCCATATATCTGATATGTTATTAATATCTAAAATATACAAGAAACTCTTACAACTCAAAGCAAAAACAAAGCACAAAAACAGATAAACTCATTTGGAAATGGGTTATGTTCCTTCACCCGAAGGACATAAGTAGACATTTCTCCAAAGAACAGATACAAATGGCCAACAGGCATAGGAAAAAGTGACAAACATCACTAATTATCAAAACCTAATCATGCAAATCAAAACCACAATGAGATATTACCATACACTTGTTGTGATGGCTTTTATTAAAAAAAGAAGAAGAAGAAGAAGGTAACAAGTGTTGGCTTGGTAGAGATGTGCAAAAATTGGAATCCCTGTACACAATTGGCAGGTACGTAAAATGGTGCAACCACTATGGCAAACAGGTTAGAGGTTCCTCAAACAATTAAAAATATGATTATGATATGACCCAGCAATCCTACTTCCAGGTATATATCCAAGTGAATTGAAATCAGAATCTTGAAGAGATACGTGTACCTCCATGTTCATTGCAGCATTATTCACAACCACCAAGATATAAATACAACCGAAGTGTCCAATGTCAGATGAATGGACAAAGAAAATTGGTATATGCATACAATGGGGTATTCAGCCTTTAAAAAACAGAAGGGAATCCTGCCATATGTGACAACATAGATGAACCTGGAGGACGCTATGCTGAGTAAAGTCTGCCATTAGTGTAAGTCCACTTATGTGGTATCAAAAATAGTCTAACCTGTAGAAACAGATCAGAAAATGGTAGTTGCCAAGGGTCAGGAGAGAGAGCAGTCGCTGTTCAACAGATAGTTTCAATTATTCAAGAGAAATGTGTTAGATCTACCATACAACATTGTGCCTATATTTAACCATGCTGTATTGTACACTTAAAAATGATAGATCAGGTACTAAGTATTCTTACCAGAATAAAAATATGTAAAATTTTTTAAATAATTTTAAATTCTCAAAGATTTTTGCTCAAACAGGCCTAACTTAAGATAGAGTTAAAATAATTTTCACATATTTAAAAGGCCCCTTAATGTTTTTACCAATTACCTAAAATAAAAATCATAAGGAACTAATCTACGTAAAGTGTCTAGGCCAATGCTTGGTTCACACTGAAGAGTCGGTAAGTGTGATTTTCTGTCCTTCCTTGCAACCATCTTTAGAGTTGTATGGGTCTAGCATGGTTTATGTCATCCCTTATACATGCCCAGATTTATGCTACTGCATTAGTGGTGCAGTTTCACCTCAAGGGACTGTGTTCTAAGGAAAAGTCCAGGTCCCATTTAAATCAACTCCTGTGAGTACAGGAAGATTAGTTCACTCTTTCTGAAGAGGCACCCCACCCTTTCCAATTAGTGCTCTGTTGCACCCTAGATTTGCAATTCAATCTTCTCGAAATTTTTTTTAAGATTTTATTGTTTTTATTTTATTTTTAGAGAGGGGAAGGGAGGGAGGGAAAGAAACATCAATGTGTGGTTGCCTTGCGAGCGCCCCCTACTGGATACCTGGCCCACAACCCAGGCATGTGCCCTGACTGGGAATCCAACTGGTGACCCTTTGGTTCACAAGCCAGCGCTCAATCCACTGAGTCACACCAGCCAGGGCTCAAAGGAAATGCTTTCGAAAGCATACGTTATATAGCCAGTAAGACACGCCTATCCAAAGAGCAATGCATCTTTAGATACCAAGCTGCTTTTTATAACCAGTGATTACAAGAGTTGTCCCCTGCTCCCCAACTCTCCTTCCCCTTTGCCCCTGTTCTGCTATATCCCTGCTAACTTTCCTCTTCAGTGGCCTTGCTTCATTTTCTACTCCCTTCCTCCCTCCTTTTTCTGCCCCTGCCAACTACTGCATTAATTAAAAATAAAGTAAAATACAATACAATACAATAAAACTTTTTAGATAGTCAGAAGTGAAAACACTCTTCCTCACCCTCCACCAATCTGGCAGAAGCATTTGACATTGACCTTTTTAAATGGAAAAATACTCAGAACAGGGACCTAGACAGTCTCCATGGTTATTGTAAGTCGAGCACACCTCAAGCTGTGAGCTTCAGCATCTTAAATTAACCAACAACCCTCACTGAAATAAATGAAAAAGCGGGTCAATCTAAAGTTAAACATTTATATCTGTGCCATCGAAGGATATTTTTAAGACACATTTGGAAAACTAAAAGTACTGAGCAACTCAGTAGCTGGAAGCCAGGGCAACGTCTCTGGACCGCTGGCTCTGATGACTTAGGAAAGAAAACCATAGCAACGGGCCACAATTCAAGGGCTTCAAACTTTCAGCTGAAACCCAGACTACTTTCCAAGAGGACAAATGTTTATAAAATAGTCTCTTCCGAGTCAAATGTGCAATTTCCTCACCCTCCTTAAAACATTAAACTTTCAATGGAAAGAATTAAGTCAAAAAGCCCGTGAATTGTTGCCAATTGCTACGGTTCCCTTTTCTAAGTCATCAGAGCCACCTGTCAAGAGACCCTGGCCTCCAGGCCAGGACAGGCTTTTCAAACTGTCTCAAATAATCATTAACGTAAAGACGGGTTCATATTACACCCGTTTAAAAAGGCTTAAAACGCTGAAGATACTGAACATTATTTCAACAGTTTTATCTGACACATTATAAACTTAAATGCTGAGCCAAATTATAAGGGGTTGAGTCAAGCTCATGATGTATGAGAGCACTTCCCTCAAACCAGCCCTTCTCCCCCTTCCATCTGAAGCTAGTCCTCTTTTAAATTCAAGAAAATTCTCCGCCCCACGAAACTCAGGAGTTCTCTCGGGTCCCTTTACACTTTATTTACACCAGAAATGCTGAATCATGACTCCGCGGTTGTAAAAGAAAAACTAGTTGGTCTGGGATGCCAGGACCCCCAGCGGATCCCACCACGTTTCTGCATTCCTTTGCTTTGCACCTTTTAAAGTCGAAATCGGGGTCCTTTCCGCAGACTGGAGAGGTTCCGGGAGCGTGCAGGTCCAGAGAGAGCCTCTCTGCCCGCTCTCCTGCTCCTCCCCAAAACTCAAGCAGCCCTGGCAGCTCAAGGCTCCCGCCTCGTCTCCTCGGCACGCGACCCCGAAGGAACCAAATACGCTCCCCAACTGCAAAGCTGCAGAACAGCCTCCGAGAAATTCCCAACTTGGAAGCATCACCACCACCACCACCATCCGTTCGGAGCTCCTTGGGCCCGCACTGGTCTCACTTGACCACGTTCCGACTGGGGTCGGGGGTGCGGAGACAGCTCCTCCAACCCCGCTCCCAGCCCTAGCCCGCCGAGAGCGCAGACTCTTGAGAAACTCGATCCCAACTCCCAAGCCCGCGCCTCCCCGACCGCCTGGGAGCCCAGAGAAGCGGGGCCGAGGTCCACGGAGCAGAGTGGCGCGGACGGCCTCGAGAGGAGGGAGGCGTTGAGGGGAAGGGGCAGCAAGAAAAGAAACGCCCCCCAAGCCAGTCCTGCAACTTCTCCCAGCCCGGGGTGGGGAAGTGAAGGGAAACGGCAATGGCTGCGAGCGCGAGGTGAGGACTCACTTGAAGGTGAGGACGCAGAGCGGCCGGTAGGACTTGTGGCTGGTGTTCTCGGCCATGCCCTTGCCCCAGAAGTCGTTGGTGAAGATGCTCCAGCGGAGTGGGGTGCCGGGCCGCAAGTCGGGGTTGTTCACGATCGCCCACACGTCGTCGTGCACGAACTCGCCCTGCAGGGAGCGGCCGTAGCACAAGCAGCTCGCCCCGGCCAGCAGTGCCGCCGCACCGGCCGGCGCGAGTCCGCAGTCCCGCCGCCGGGAGGGCGCGCGGTCCTCTCCGCCGCCGCCTCGGGCAGAGCTTGTCACCACCATTGCGCCGCCACCGCTGCCCTGGTCTCTCCTGGGCGTCTGGCATCCTCCCCGGCCGGGGCCCCGGCGGTGCACGGCGGCTGCCTGGAGGTGGGCTCGGGCATGATGCGGCCACTGAACCTGCCGCTGGCGCCCCGCGCTCCGCCGCCGCCTGTGCCTCCGAGTTGGCCCAGCTGCAAATAAACAGCAGTCCCCCCGCCTCCCCTGGCCATCGCCACCTCCTCCGCCCCACTGCGCATGCCCCGCTCGCTCCAGTCTCCACCACCACCCCCCCATCCCGGGACTAGAGCCGCTTCCCCACGCACACCCCAGCACCCGCCGCCCGCGCCGGGCTAGCCGCCGCGGTCTGTCCCCGGGCGCTGCGTCTCTCGGCGGCGAGAGTTCGCGCGCAGGTGGAGCGGCGGTCGCGGCGCAGAGCTGCCCGCGTTCCCGCCTGCCCTGCCCCTAGGATTCCCCCCATCCTTTTTCTTCCACTCCCCGAACGGGGCTGAGGACCTCATATGGCAAGAACCTCCGTCCCAGGGCCACCGCGGGCTTAGCTGGGATGCGGCCTGAAACCCCGCACCCCTCCCTCAAAGATAAAAGTGGCCGCTGCCTCCCGGGAAGTTCCAGGCTTTTCAGCACCCCGGACAACAGCAGCGGCGGCGCCTGGGGACACGCTCCCCCCGCCCCCCGGCCCCCGACGCGCGCTCGAGTCCCGTCGCCCTCTCCCCATCACCTTTCCGAGCCTTTCTGTCCCCCACCCGGCGCTGCGTCCCGCGGCTGCAGCCTCGGGTGGAGGAGACCGCGGGGGAACGGAGCTTCCCAAGCTCCTTCCGAAAAACCACGAGAGAGGGTCTCCCTGGCCCTGGGCTTCCTGCCCGCCTTGCCCCGTTTGCCCAGAGGCGCCACTGGCTGTTTTCCTTTACCTTCCGTTGGTCTGCTCGCACTTATAAAAAGTCCCAGGTTCGATTTTTGGTTTGAGTCTGGACGCTAAACTGGCTTCTGAAACAGTTCTCGTTTTATTTTTTTACTGAAACTCTTGAGATAATAGGAGACATGCCAAGCAAATTACTTTTTCTTCCCATCTAAGCTTGCCACTTGGATCTGATTATTGTATTCCAGGCTATGGGCGTGTTTGTACGGTTCCTGCTAAATCAATAGATTTTAAAAAATTATAATAAACTGTGTTAAGGCCTCTGGCATTGGCTCCCAATCGTCCCGTTTTTCTGAAAGGTTTTCTTCTTTGAAAATACTAGTTATAATATGTAAATAAGTTAGGTAATGATTACTAGAAGTTCACAAGGTTTGGAAAATCTTTTAACTCTTTGAGGTCCCCTGTAAATTTCCATTGCTGTGTTATTGAATTTACCTAGAATTTGACATATCCAGACAGAAAAACTTGGAATGTAAAATTCGCCACTTTTTTCCTATCCTTCCAAAATCCTTAAGTTTCATAGATCTAAAAAAAAATAGTAAAACAAAATTGTCCTCATAGAGACTGAGCATTTGCGTGACTCTTTACTCATTTATTTATTTTATTTTTAAAGATAGATCTGAACCGTTGAAAACTCAATGAATTAAGACAAATACATTCCAAGGCAGGATGCATTTCACCATTGCACTTTGTTTTTTGGTGACTTGAAAATTAGCGACTGAGAAATGTTTTCACCTTTGCATCAAAAAAAAAGCTACACTTGGTAGCTTTAATATCCAGACTCCACACACACCTAAACACACTACAGCCTTTCTTCTTTGCCTACCCATTAATGTAATAAAAATATATGAAGGGTTTACCTTAGGCTACAAAGTGGTAAGTACTGGGCTGGATGGCCAAAGCACTCAAATTGTGTGTGTGTGTGTGTGTGTGTGTGTGTAAACTTAATTCTATATTTATAAAAGACTAACTTTCTAAGTTAACAGCTGAGTAGAATAGTGACATCATCCTTAATGAAAGGATAGCATTTATAATAGGTCAATGTATCAATCTTTACCTATAATAAATAAGGACTTTCTAGAGACAATGTCTTACTCCCAACGAGTGACTCTAATAATAGATTTTTATAGACAGAACTTTTCCCCCTTAAATCACCCTTAATTGTCATAGGACGCACAATCCTGCACACCCTCTTTGTATCTGAATTGTTTTCTTTTTTAGATAAAAACAATATCAGAGTTCTCTGTGAGAATGGAAAGAAGAGAATAAGGACTCCAAAAAGAAATAGAAAGGGGAAGAGATAAGGGAAACCTCGAAGTGGGATTCCAGATTTCTGAGCACAAAGAGTTTATTAAGCTTTCCTCTAAATTCACTGGCACCTCAATTCTAGTTCAGATGATGAATTTTGCATTCATGTACTTGAAAATAGTGAGATACCTCAAGTCCTTTTAAAGGCAAACCAGTAAGTAAATGCTTTTTGAAATTCAACATGTTCTTTGCAGCAACTCCATCGTTTCTGATTCAATACTGCTTTGAGTTACAGGAAAATACTGAAAAAGTGTTAATGTCAAGTTTACATTGCTATGTCAGCCGATAATCCGTTCTGCTCTTCTCTTAAGGTATAACGCACTCATCTTGACTAATCAAGGGGCCCAAAATGCAATTAGATTTAATTCTTGTAACTTGGTTTCTGATTGTTTTTAAAGGATTTATAATTAAAGCAATACTGCCTCATAAGATACCTTTTGTCTGCTCAGAGCAATTTAAAACATAAATTATTACAGAAGTGCCTCTCTGAAGCTCATACAGATTAAGTCATACAGATTAAATTGCGCAAATTAAAATGGACAAGATTTCCTGAAAGAAATGAGGCTACAACTAAAAATAAATCAGGGAATATTTTAATAAAATTAATTTCAAATTACTGCACTATGCTTTTCAACCTTAAATACCTGGTCAGATGTGCCCTATACTAAGGAATAAGTGCAATGTTACAAAAGCAGTAATTCAGGAAAAGAGCTGATAACATAATTTACATTAAAGATAATTTTTGTTGTCCAGTTATTTAACTATTACTTGTTGTTGAATAAGATACAGAAAACTAGAAAAAAATTAAAATACACTCACCACCCCCGCCATGGGATCAATCATAGGACAGCCACTCTGTCCTCTAAGAAGCTGACCCAGCACCTGGAGGACAAATGTGGGGCAGTCTAGGGTGCCATGTGGTCTGAAGGATGGCTGTGCTCAGGCCTGTACTCAGCTTGGTGGCTGCAGGTGCAAGAGAGAATAGGGGACCCTCAATGAAGGTAAACTGGCTTTCCTTCCATCCCCAGAGCCAGTCTCTGTGGCATCTACACAGAATTAAATAAAAGATTGTCAAAACCTGATGGCGATCTTGCTATTTCTGGATCGCAGACAATAAACTTGGTCAGCATATTACTACAAGATAAAAGCACACACATGTACATTGCAATAAAGCATATCAAGTCTTACTAGATTTCTTCAAAAAGTTTAGGAACTCTGGCTTGGAAAACCAAGGCAAAGCAAATGTCCGGTCTTAGACACGGAAATTAAATGTTAAGATTATTGTATACAACAGAAAAGCAATATCTTATTTATATGAAATTTTAATTACATACATTTTATTTTACATTTTAATTATATGCAAATAAAAAAGCCACTACTAGTATTTGGCCAGCCTATACAGCCTATAGAAAATGTCAGAGGAACCACTAAAATGCCATTGTGTAAACTTACCACTAAAATTAAATTCAGACTTGCGCCAAACTGATTTGTGTTAAGTTAAATTGTCTAGAAGAACTATTCCATCAGCACCATCAGCTCTAGAAGTGCGATGAGTTATCCTTTGAAATAATTTGTCAGAAATTTATCCCCATGTTGTCGCAGCCTGCTCTTAGCAACTCCAGTGTCACATAAGCAGAAAGAGACTTCTCCTGATTAAAGAGTATTTTTAAAAGTCCTGATTCATAGCATTTCCTGACCTTCATTGTGTAAATATTCTTACCAGGGTCAATCTCATGTTACCACTGTAATGTCACTTGACACAAAGATGGGAAGAGGAGCACAGTAGCATTATCATTCTATGGTATTTTCATCATACAGACATAGTAGCTGTAAATTAGGTTAAGAGCATTTTAATAGTAAAATACGGTAAATAATTAGAAAGTGATGAGTTTTGAGGATTTATTATCTTTGTTTAATCTACTTTATAGAATTATAAGTTTATATAACTTATTTTTTTATCATGGCTGTGTTTAACAACCAGTTTATAAAATTCCTAAAAATTTAACAATCAGTTTTTGTGAACTAGTTATGAGTTGACTCTAGCACACTATTACATGAATTAAGATTGGCCACTACTGCTTTTATGATTTTTTAAATTTTTATTGATTGATTTTTAGAGAGAGAAAGTGAAACACTGATCTGGTGTTCCACTGATTTCTGCATGCATTGGTTGACTCGCGTGTGTGCCCTGACTGGGATTGAAGCTGCAACCTTTGCGTATAGGGACGATGCTCTACCCAACTGAGCTACACGGCCAGGGCCAGTTTTATAATTTTGAATTTGAGTGATAAGTATGGGCAGGGACAGGGGCGAGGCATCCGTGTACTTGTGCCGTGAAGAATTAACCTTATCCTAAGAGAGATCTGGCCATTGCCCTCGGTGACTGGGAGATAATATCTAAGCCTCCCGAACATCCTGCCTGACAGAAGTGCCTTTGTTTGCTGGGGCCTTTGGCTACTGGACAGTCTAACAATGTGGTTTATGATGAGATCTCTTGGCCACACATACCAGCTCTGACCTCTGAGAGAACTGGAAACTAAAGATATTAGCCTGACCTAGGAAAAGGGCTAATGACTAAAGGTCAGCCCTGCAGGCAGTGTGCCAAGAGCCTGAGGAAAACCTCTGAACACCTAAGGCTCCCGTGAGCTTCCCTGATAGGCAGCACTCTGCATGTTTTCACACATTAATACCAAGAAAGTGACATGTCCTGACTTCATGCAGAGGAGACAGTGAGAGCTCTGCATTTGGTACTTCTGGGCTCCACCCTGCGTGCTTCTCTCCTCTGCTGTTTCTCATCTTCATCCTTTCCCTGTAACAAGGGTACCTATATTAACAGCTTTAGTGAGCTCCACGAATCCTTCTAGCAAATTACCTAAACTGAGGGTGGTTTTTGGAATGCCCAAATTTGCAGTTGGTGTCAGAAGTGAGAGCACTGTTCTGGAGATTGTGCTCAA